AGGGGAGTTCCCATTACCTGTAAAGCGCTTTGAGTGGAGTGTCCAGAAAAGTGCTATATAAGTGTAAGCAATTATTATTATAATTATTATTATTTTATCACAAAAAAGTATTCATTTGTGTGCTGAAAAACCATTGAGAAGTCCTTAATTTATATGCTGAAACATCACAGTCACCTCAGCTAATAGCTAGGTAATTTCATTTCAAAAGAGACAAAATTATATGCTATGGTTTGTTTTTGTTACCTCTCAATTGTAAGCATGATGGTTCATATAATTCTTGATGCAGTAACTGGTACATCTACTGGGTCTGCTCACCACACTAAGGGCAGGGTATTTCATGAGTATTTCCATCATTTTCTTGTAACAGACAGGTTTTGTTGGAAGACCCTGAATCAGCACGTTCTCACAGTATTTGCCCAAGGGCACACTCTCTCCATGCAATTATACCATAAGGAACCAAAACAATTCATTGGACTAAGTCCTAATTTGCAAAAAGGTGCGATATTATTCCAGACATAACAGTTCTTCAGAATTTGGCTGGAGACCAGAAAAAAAAACTCAAAGAACTGTAAATCTTTGTTCTCTTTGCCAAAAAGCATCTTAAGCTCTGGGATTAATTTAACAATAAAGAAACACCTGAGAGAGCCAGGGCACATGTTAACAGCAAATTGAGCCTATTCTCGCCATTAAAAGAAATGGGAGAGAGAAATACAGGTCAGATATCTCAACGTTTCTCCAAGACAGTCTGGGTTCTGGTTCCCAAAATATTAAATACAGGACCTTTAGGGAGGTGTGATGGGAAGCTGTTTACCTGAAATTTCACTCTAGTTTTTTTTCCATGTTGAAAAACTCAAAAAAAATTCTGATTTCTGGCAAGTGTTAATCCTTCCACTGTATCACACTAACACACAAAGACTAAAGGAAGCTTCGTCCGACTTTTCTTTTCCAAATTTGCCAGCAGATTCCTGAAAATCATTGAAGAGTTGTAATATACACAAATATTTAGCAAAGAAGACGCACTTATTTTTTTGTTTTTCTACTTCACCATGGTTAGGAAAAATTAAGAATTACAGAGATGATCCCCCTGTGACGTTCCTTAGAGTGCGGGGCTGTCCGTGCGGAATGAAAAAAGGGAAGGAAAAAAAAACTTTAATTTGCTCAAGTTCATCTAGGAGGAGAGGCATATGAACAATTCACAGGTGGTGGAGATAAATTCCAGAGGGTGACACGAACATAGCACAGTGGTTAACATGCTGGAGCAGGGCTCAGAATGTGGTCTTTTCCAAACCCAATCTGCTCCACTGCACAACGTCCCTTCAACCACCTCATCACTGTGATATTATTTATCAGGCAAGTCGGCAAGGAAAGAGATAAGGAGCTGGCTGTTAAAAAAAAAAACACCCCTCAATTGGTTGGCCAGGAAGTGTTGAGTAGCTATGCTCTGAGGAGTGCAATACTGGAGTTCCCAGAATCCTTGAGTGACTCAAGGCTTTTGGCATAAATTTCCTTCATTGCGATCTACAACCTACAATCTTCCACTGTGGGCCACAACTCCCAGCAGGACATCTCTGTTACCTTGCCCCATTGCAGTGTGGATCTTGTCTCTATCAAACTTGATCTTTGATCTGCCAGGTGTGCTGAGCATCTTCTCCCAAACCAAGGTCACGTCTTTCAGGCAGGGCGTGATTTCTTCATAATCCAGCTTTAGTCGCCTGTTCCGGAGGTCACTCTCTGAGGCTGGAATGCACAAAACATTCAATTTGTGAAAATGCACCTGTGTCTTGGATTAGTCTACAGCCCACCAATTCATTACCCCAAACATGTTTTATGGATCAGAAAACTGTCAACCTGACCATTAGTACCTTCTACAGATATGAAGGGAAATTATTTGGAAGAGTGAATGCAATTGAATCGTCGGTAATACTGTATGTGCACAATTCACATAAAATGGAAGCCCTCTTGCACTGGATTTTGAGTTAAGAAAATGTAGGATTTATTGATGCTAAAAGGATGGACTCCTGGCCAATTAAGCATTCGTACATGTTCTTTCAGTCACAAGCACAAGGAATAAAAAACATCGATCACCCAGTTCAGAAAAGGGTACTGGAGATTGCGAGTTTGGATCACTTACAGCCTGAGAGCACCCAACAGAAGTGGGTCTGTACCTGCATTTCTCAACACAGTATCTATTAGGTACTGATCCTTGAATCACATGTGAATTTCTTCAAGAAATAAGTGTAAGGAACTATTTTTAAATCTACCATAGTCAACACGCAGCGCAAAGATTAGTAACCCATCCATTTTCTATCCACTTCAGGGTCGCCGGGGAGCTAGAGCCTATCCCAACAAGCACTGGGGTCCAAGGCTGGATAGACCCTGGACAGGATGCCAGCCCATTGCAGGGAAGACACAGAAACACACTCACGTCTGGGCCAATTTTCCCCGGAGCCAGTTAACCTAGCAGAAAGTTTTTGGACTGTGGGAAAAGCCTAAGGAACACAGGGAGAACACACAAACTCCACACAGACAGCACCCCCGGTCCAGTATTGAACCCAGGCTCCCAGTGCTGCAAGGCAGCAATGCTCACTATTGTGCCACCACGCCACTAATATTAGTAATAAAGGCTGTATGTAAAACATTATTTTGGAAAAGTACAGGAAAAGAAAACATTATGTATGAGAACCTGTTTCAAATTTCTAAAGGAGTGTCTGATAAGGTCCCTCACAAGCTGCCCACAGATATTCTCTTCAATTGCTGCTTGAATCTCAAACATTTGCTTTGTACTGGATAAAGTAGCCCACATATTGTACCATATTGTACATTATACAATCAAACACTTCATTTGACCGAAAAAGAATAATGACAGAGTCAAAGTACTGTACCTTATAAATGGGAGGAAAGGTCTTACAGACCATACTAGAAAATTAACAAATAGAAAACAAAAAAAAAAATCTAAAACAAGAATTGAAACAACTCAGCTACCAAAAGCATTCATTTCCGGTTTTGATAAGGACCACAGTTTACTAATAAAAAAATACAGAGTATGTATTTTTCCTCCAATCAGTATTGCTGAATGCTCAGCTAGTGGCCTCTAGTGCTTTTCCTGTGCTCACCTTAGCTGTACATCAAAACAACATTGAGTCACGAGTGACACCAAAATGGCCCTACAACATATCTCTTTAAATCATGCTAATGCTTTTTTCCAGTTCTCATTGGAAAAGGGAATGAAAATGAAAATCGCAACATTCAAGTTAAGTCATCAACTGGCACAAAACAACAAAAGGAGCTACCTGACCATCCGGCTTATCGGCTGGTCAAGCTTCACAATGCTTTTAAGAAAACAAAAGTGGAAGGGGAGTTTTCGAAAACAGAAAATCATTCTTTGGAATCACAGCCTTCCCTAGCGAATACCAGTCTTTCAAGTCTTTCTTGCACGGGATTAAAGTCTATTTGCTGGATGTAAATGTTCCTGTTCATATCTTTTAATTATCTATTTGTTAAAAAAGTTTATTACTGCTATACTGTTGGACACAATTACCAGTTACTGAAAATCTGCAAAGAAAGGACTCCTACCTGTATACTTACACCACAGGATTATGGGAACGTTTCCTACCAATTTAACCACATTAATCATACATCAAACCCAAACAGACAACAAGGCAGTAATATATTAATATATCTTGTACATTGCTTACTCCTATGATATTGCTATGAGTATACTTTTGAGTATAATGTCCCTGCACTCATAAGGCTTAACAATTGGTGAATGGAGACAAGACTACCTGCTGACTACTTCAAAGCTGGGGATAGAAGAGAGTATGATTATTGTTTCTCCTTAATTTGTCTTCATCGCTAAAGGTATTGGAAAAGTGAAACCACAAAAACAAACTTGGCATTTTGCACCACAGAGCACAAATCAAACCCAACAGACGCAGAAACCCTGGTACTCATGGAGACGAAAGCCGCCAAGAAAAAACAAGGAAAATGATCAAATCCGAAAACGGATCAAATGTTAGAAAGCCGAGAGCAGCACTAACCAGGAGCCCAGCGAGGCACGTATGATTTAGAGAGATGACAAAATCCACCTAGAATGGGCACTATGCCACATATATTGATAAAGTCCCGGAGGAGAGTGCAAAAAGACATCCAGTATGAAAAGATACTGCCACCTTTCCGTTTCAAGGACAAGCAGTGGATGAGATGAAAACCAGCACTGTGCTGTGTTTCTTGGATGTGGTTAATGGCAGTGGGGTTTAGGGGTAACCATTCGGAGCCCAGAGATTGAAATCCAAATACTGGGTTCAAATGCGAGCCGGGGACACGAGATGAACAAGGTACTTGATCCAGATTAATCCATCAAATCTGCACCACACTGAACTAACGGGTACCAACAATTTTGGGTGAAACTAACAGGTAATCATAACCTCTTGGTAAGTCGCTCTGGATAAAAAAAAACAGTCCGTTTAGCTACTGTACAATTTCTTTATTACAATTAATTCATAAAGTACATAATTACTTGCACCTGGATGTCATTTTTCATACCAAAGCACCAGAAACAGGTTCATAAGTAGGAGGGGATCTGTTTCTCCATGTGCCGGCCACTGGCTATGTGCCAGTAGGTCTTATCCTTCATAAAAGCACCAAGGGACTGGTAATAACCAAGTAGTCAGCACCTCAGGTTCCTGTCGCAGCCTAAAGAGCACACCTACAGCACAGCAGCCCCCACTCACCATATTTCCAATGGCTTGGTTGGGAAATTCTGCTCCAGATCAAAGATCTCCCCCATACTGGTCCACCAACATTACCTACAGTGGTAACCTGGCTCTCTTCAGAAGTCTCCCATCTCCAGTGCTGTGATCTGATGACTTCAAGTTACACATACAGTAATGCTGCTCTCAGTTTATGCCACTTGCTGTTCTTAGTCATATTTCAGAATACAAAAACCATCCAAGCAGACAATTCTGAGCACCAAGGTGGTACATCTGCAACTATGTCAGTATAGCACCCATAAACTAATGGTACAGTTTTAATCGCAGGCACTAGGGTCCTCAGCTGTGCCTCCTCTGCCAATGGTGACAGTGTTAACTACATTATACAATCAGATGCATCAAAGCTCCGGGAAAACTTCGCACACAATCGAGAAGTTACAAAGTGATTCTACTGCGATTTTTGCAACACATTTACCATTTTAGAATTTGACGGTCCTGGTTCTGAGGAAGTGGTTTCTGAACGAGCCGCTCTTGACTCTTGAGGAGGCACGCACAACACGAAAACAGCCTGCTGCAGCTCTCCCCTGTCTGCCGCTAATAGCCAGCACCGCCCCGCCCTGCGGAGCCCAACCTGCCACCTGCGTGCTTCAAAACAGGCTGCTTCCTCATGATGCCACCACGGGCTTTTCTACAGAACTGGCGCACATGAAACTGTGGAGGAAGCAACTGCGCTCACAATTTATCATATTTTTTCACTCAGTTCTTTTAGTTCAAATTTGATATAATTACAGATACATTAGTGTTGTATCTACGTTAAAAAGAGGGGCTCAATTGCAATCCCTTCGGACTTCTCTCTTCGGCGAAACTATGCCATAGTATTTCAGTAGCAGGGTATTTCTCTCACCGGTTTTCTTATCTGGAACCACAAAGCAGTTAATTCCCACAGAATTTCCCCTTCCCTGTACACTGAACAGCTACTGACTCATTTTGACATTCAAAACTCATTACGGTGTGGATTTGCCCAGGCCACTGTTACAGAAAAGTCCTACTGTTCAAGTAAATGAGGATACGCAGGACCTAACAATTGCCAAAAAAACATAATGGTATCACCACAGAGAGCTCAGACCATTCTACAGAAAGTTCTGAGTCCATCCATGGTCAGAATGAAACTTAACCAGTCGCAGTGTCACAAGATGCCAAAGCCCAGCTCTGAAGCACAGTACACTAAGCAGTGACAGGAAACAGGACCACTTTTCCCTTGGTAGGACTGTAGTCCACTCTGGTGCAATGGGGGAAGTGATCATTTAAACAGTCCATCACACCAAGCTAATATACCTTTGGTGACAGGAAGAAACTGGAACACCCAGTGAAGAACATGCCAGCTGTCATCCTTGATTTTTTCTTTTAATCCACAATCTAGCACGGCTTGGATTTTTTACTGACCAACAATGAGCGTCTTTTTTGTAAAACTGTCCCACTGACCTGAATCAAGAAGAACCAACACTGTTTAGAAGACCTTTACGGTCTGACTTGTTACGAGTGCTGCAGAGCGACGCTGTTCAGTATTCGACAGTAGATGGCCAGCACCTCTGTAAAAACAGGATGGTTGCAAGACAAAAGGCAAAGGCAAAAAAAAAAAACACAAGGAAAGATACAAGCTGGAGAGCTTATCCCTCTCGAATAAGAATGAAAAATCACACAGAGTGAGATGTCCTTTTCAGTGTTGAAATGTTAAAAACTTCCAGTGTCTGAACTTGCACTTTGCCAGCTAATACAAGTGTCATTGTCACCACTAGGGCACTGTCAGGGAACTTCCAGAGTTGCAATATCTTCCTGCAGCATTTCTTCACTGGTTGCAGTGTCTTGTAGTATGACTTCATTTTCCTGGTGTAAATGATTAAGAATTTACCTGGTTGTCAACCACCAATTTAAAGATTATGCCAGAGCATGTTATAGTGCTATACACATACACATAATATTTATCCAGTTTTCATCAGCGCACCACCTGCAGTCCGATGATTTGAAGAGGTCTTGAATGGAACAAAAGGCTGCCTTTTTCATGTGGGCTCACAGATATCCTGTATGTTGTCAGATCAAAGGGAAAAAAGAAAACCACCAGCCCACATACCGTTACACTTACTGTATACCTGTCCCTCAACGCCTTTTGCCCAAACCAAAATGCATGTTTTGCTGTGAACGTACCTGCCCTGCCCATTCCAGGCTTTTGATGTATTAATTCCCTGAACTCTTCAGGGGTCACTTCTTATTTTTATTCCATGTAACAGACGTCTTTTAATGTTCACCACTTTAAAGTCTTGTCATGGAAATTTTTATCCCCAGCAATTTACAGAGGATAAATTCAGCAACGGCTTCGGCATCAGCAATTGCTGTTACCAGGCCACAAACAACAGGAACTTGGTTTCAGATGTTGCCTGAACAAAGATGTTTCTCAGGGTGACACAATGTTAGTCAGTAGCAGGGCCTGAACTGGGAAAGTTCGGGTAGCAAAGCCTTTAACCTAACCACAGAACCACACTGCCTTCCCCATTCCAGATAATACAAAAGAGCCGTACTATTTCTTCTGTGAAAGAAACTGCACTGACAAACCTGGGAAATGTTGTGTAACGCTGACTGTCAGTCAAAACGGATTTTCTTCCACATTCGTCCGTGAAACGATCTGAGGACGTGTAAACAAAACCGTCTCTTTTAATCAAACAAAAACATTTGCTTCCCCTACTAAAGACGTATTACGCACAGACCAGAGAAAGCACAAAATCTTTTTTTTTCCCCCTCCACCTCTTAAAAACCAATAACAACAACACTGCCACTGTGGCCGCACAGTCAAATGGTATGCAACACACTCAGTCTCTCAGCTATTTTTAAAGTTCACCATCCTTCTCACCCTCTGATTATTGTCTCATCTGCTGTGTCACACCCTTCCTCCCCTCCTAGACCCACTCTCCACATCTGTCATCCCCTGCCCGGCAGGGCCCTCCTGTCCCTGCCCACGTCAACGGCTTCTCTGGGGTGCTATAAATACTCGCTTGCTCGACATGCTGGCAAATGTCAACAGGCATGGAGAGGGCCCGCAGCTCCTCTGAACAATAGCATCAGACCGAGAAAGCAACGAAGGGAGGGGGTGAGAGTGAGAAACAAGAGAAAGGGAAGGGGAAGAAACTAAGTAAATGCAGGACAGAAGAGCAACAACTGAACGAGGTACAGTACATTGACATGAGATATGTTCGAGGTCTTGGAGGTACACTGTATGTCTACAGCGTTTTAAATACAGCACGTGACTGCAAAGCAATCAGAAATCAACAGCACTCGATTTTGAATGATTTCCACAACCAGCAGGCATTTTTCTTCCTGACCAAACGTCAGCCTGACCAAATGGGTATGGGAAGGCTGAGCTCCCTTAACTAAGAATCAAATAAAGAGCAAACGGCTTAATCTTTTGTAGAATCAAGATGCTGGCTCATTTATTTCCCACACACATTACAAAGAAGAAAACATTTGCCTTCAGCTCTGGCATCAAATTGCACCGATAACTGAGAAGCCATGGAAAGAGTGACTCCACAGCGCCTTCGCTGTGCTGAACATTATGTATATCTGTGTCAGTTAGCCAAAAGCAGAACTTTTTGCAATAAAAACAAGTACTGAAAGCAAAAACTGCATAACGTGCATGCTCTTTTCAATTTTACTGCCACATTATTCCATTTAAAACAGAAAATAATTATAACAGCTATTTACATTTGAAGTAAATAGAGCATTGTATTCTAAGGGACACCAAAGAGGTTTTCAAACAGATCTTCATCCACCTCTGCAACCTAGGAGGTTTGAGGTGCTACTATTATCCAGCAGCCCCACTGCACTGCAGATCAGGCAAAGGGAGATCCTGTGTCCTGAGTCATGCTGGTAACAGATAAGACTGGAATTTTAGCCAGGACACCAGGGTTAACCAGAGGGCTCTTATGAATGTTGTATGGGATATTTGAACTCTTATCACAGACCACTCATCGGTATGTTTTGAATCGCTTATAGGACAGGAAACGCATCTGTAAAATACCACACCCAGCCCGGAGATCAGTAAAGAATTAACCATTTTCTAGGCTCTAGGCTGGCCACCGCAATGCAGGGGTTTACAAATACATATGCACCTGTTTTGGGACATTTAAAAATACTGTGACAAAAGTGTTTGCCAGCTTCTTCCTGTATCAGATCATCGGATCTGCCCTGACTTATGCCCAGATTTGTGAAGGACTAGGAATGTGCACGCAGTTTTGATTCATTTCATTCAGGAAAACACCTTTCTTTTTTATATTGCACACATTCTAAAATTGCTCTGCCTAATTTACTCAAATTATTTTTTTTTGCTCTGCTGCCACATACAGTAATTTAAATGCTTTCCCTTGAGTAATATCTAATCGACCAGAAACTGATAAAATCTAGCCTCTAATTTTCACATCACTGCTCCTGTGACATGACTCAGCACTGAGCCGTGGCAGTGTGCTAGTGTCACGTACTCATTAAAGTACAAAGTGGAACTTGAAGGCTTCTTTTTCTTAGTGCTGCATTCTTCACCCTGTAATTCAACCCTTCAATCTTTTGGCTCATTGGCTGCCATTTTTTCACAGTGTTTTTTACATGTAGCAGTTCAGAAAGGCACTCCCATATTCCTGTAAAAACTGTCGTGGAGGTATTAGATATCTAAATGAGCAGTGGGCTAAATGAGCACAGTGCACTGTTTTCTTATTCAGGTTGTTCAAGTTGTACAGCTTTCTTAGAGTCATCTGTCGCGGGTTTTGCTGAAAAATTGCTTGTAATGCAAAACAATGCTTCCAGTAACCACAGGTGAGAAGCATACCAGTGAAGAACATTAGTGTAGTCATTAACCAATGAGCAGGAACAGATTAGAATCACAGGCACACAAATTATCTTGAAACGTGACCGAATTAAAAGCTGCTCTTGTGTTTTTGCATATGCAAAATGCAGAACAGGAACAGAGCTAAACCGATCCTCACTTTCGGACCATCCAGACCCCTCTATAGTAGCCAATTCATCCAAGGATCTCACCCAGTTGGTTCTTGAAGGAAGCCAGAATATCTGTTTCAACAACAGGGCTGGAGAGCCTGTTCCACTCCCCCAATACCCTTTGTGTAAAGAAGTGTATCCTGTTCTCAATTTCCAATGTTCTCCCAGTTAGTTTCCACCAGTGGCCTCTCGTGGAAGGAAGGAGCACAACGCCAAGCAGTTAGAAGTTTGATTGTGAGACTCGAACCTGTTCCTTCTAATGTAATTATGCTTGATACACTGTACTGAACTAAGTCCACTAGACTAAGGTGTCTACCCTTGGTCGCACCTCAACAATTGTGCACTGCCAACTTGGTCACACTTAGGTAGTTATATGACTTAAGATCCCAACCCGAAACACCTGGGTTACAAAGCTCAAGCTGCACTCAGATGTTCAGGTGTGCTTATTTACAAGCCCCAGGGAGCTGATGCATCTGCCAACAGCTGGAGCAAAGTGTTCAAGAAGCAGAATCACTTACTGGAAAGGAGTGAATCTGCAATGTACAGACCACCCATTTGGTGTGTTCTGCACGTATGAAACAATACAGAGCACAGCCCAGACAAAAAAAAAAAATAGGGTCACATCTGCTGACTCAGTAGACAAATATTGACCTACCTCTGTGACACTAATTCCTACTTGAAGAGGTGTGATGATAACATCAGGTTCTTCGCTGAAAGTTTACTAGGGTGGAGGCAAACACCTGCCAGGCAGGACAGGTGTTGATACCCAATGCAAACATCACGTACTTAGAGAGGCATACACAGCGACAGAACATCACTGCAAGGCACTGTCAAATTCAACACAGCTGGGTCATACTTAGATGTAGTGGTACATTGATTAAAACAGGGCTAGAAAACTAAGCAGAATAGAATACAGAAGGTAGCTTCTTAGCAAAGTCCTTATGGAGTAGAAAGGTGATAAATGCGAGGACATCGTTGGGTGCTGTCCACGCTGAGGGATGTCCAGGCTTTTCAAATGAGCTCAGCTTTGTTGTGTGCTAGTGCACCAAGTGCTCAAAACAATGGAAAACCACTCAATATTTGGTTACTGTTCTGCATTATTCAAAGGTCAATAGTTTATCAAAACATTTACCAGACATCCTGAGTGTTAATCCTGACTGACAACCTGACAGACCTAAAATTAACCAACATGTTGGTCCTGTAATACAGCATATTTTATCAACGTATCGTGAGTAGGAGCAGGATCTTAATATCGCACATGAATGGCAGAAGACCGAGAAGGAGGGAAGGAAGTATGATTTTGAGGGGTGGGCGAGTGATGTCAGCCGTCTCGGACAGCAGTTTTTGCTAACTGACCCCTTGACATCACAGCCCCCCCACCCCACGCCCCCCCCGCCGGCGCAGCTCACCTTGCAGCTTCTGGTTCTCCTTCTCCATCCTCAGGAGGAGGATCTGCTGCAGGATGGCCTTCCTCCAGAGCTCCCGCAGCTCCTGCCGGGTCCTCTTCCGCTCCTCCGCCACCGGGCCCAGCAGCCCCTCGCACAGCCCGGGCCCCAGCGCCGCTCGCGGGGGCGCCTCCCCGGCATCGCTCCTGTCTGCGGAGGGAGACCAGCGGGCACAGGGCGTCACGGCGGGGGTAGGAGGGGTTACGAGCGCGGCAGGCACCCAGGGCACCGGCCTGGGGGACCTTCTCGCCGAGAGGAATGCTGTCATGCTGCCGTGACACCCCCCCGCGACCTCTCGAAGAGAGGGTCACCCCTTCATTTCTGCACAACACACAAACCCAGCCGGCAAGGAAAACAGCTTTTATTTGAGTTTTTCTTAGTCTAGCACATTCCCCAGAGGAATTACTGTGAACTCCCTCCAGATCAAATTAGCCTTGTTTACGAGTAGCTTTAACAATATTGGACTGAACCTTAGGAGGATTTATCGTCCTTCAGAGCACGTTATATACGACGTACACGTCATATTAATAAAGAGCAGAGCAAAGCATTATAAAGGACGGACGACTCGGTGTGAAGACCAAGTGAAGCATGGAGAGGTATGGTTAAGTGTGACACAAAATAAAAAGAAAAGGCGGGAAAGACACGGACAATGCTCAACCAAATTAGACAAGAGTGTACTGTCTGAAGGGGAATTTCCAGGTGGGGCTTGGGACAGTTTCATATGCAATGGCCTGCTTGCTCACTTCAGCTTTAAACTCTTACCTGAGGCTTCACAGGCGTCGATTCGCACAGCCTCTGGGACTATACATTGCATCAGACTAGCCTATTGCATCAGAAACAACGCTTAAAAGAACAACTGTCATAGTCTCTAAAACCCTGGTTTCTTTAATACCTCTGAGTTGTCATATAAGCTTCTCTGAACACTTAAAACTAACACAGCGTGTCTAACAGCATAAGAGCAGACTATAGTGATCTAGAGTGGTCTATAGCTATAGAAGACTATGGCTATTGTGATCTTTTGTCAATATTATGTACAGGAAATTCCCTCACACCTGAAGAAGGCTCCACGGCCGAAACGTTGTGATCTCTTTCTTCTTTTTTTCAGCATGGAATAAACCTATTACTTGTTCCTTTGCAGCCTACGCATGCTGACGCAGCTCCCCACCTGAAAGAAATTCCTACTACATCTTCCTCACATCGAAATAGGCTGGTAGTCTATTTTGCATCAGAAGGAGAACTCATCTTAGAAGCTGGTCTGCCTCTGAAACTTTAACGTGGCCCGACAGTGGAATGAAGTTTAAAATCATAATTATGAGGCTTTGTAAAAAAAAAAAAAGTTTGCTGTCTGGTCTCCTTTAAATGTTCACCTTTCCCCTGTCTGCTCTAATGGGTTGTTGAGACATGTTCATCATGGGGAGCCCCTATTTTGCATGGAAAATATTGTAGGCAAACGCTTCTCTTTTCTCAGCCTCTAAGCGGACAGTCTGCAGTCTTTTGAAATTCTGTTCCAGCGGTTGGCAGATGAAGGGTTAATGCAGTTTCCCATCCTTCACTGTCTTGCCTGTTACCTCCACCCCTCTCCAAATCTCTTCTGAAATTCCTAGGTACTATAATCAGTGTCACACCTACACTAAAGGATATCAGGTTTCGAGGTTGAATTACTGTTCTGTGCACTGTATTCTAAACCAGTAAAATGCAAGTCTAAACAATGGGATATTCTTTCAAAACACCACTTGATTTCAAGTGACAATTGCAGATGCCTACGTTCCCAAATATATTTTATGGTGGCAATCTAGATAATGACGTTATAAATAATTCAATGTGGCATTTGTGAAGGAGACCAAATCAATTAATTTCCCAGTAAATCTTTGTTAATGATACCTGGCATGTACCCTCGTGCTTGTGATCGAGAACAACTATCCATCAAGGTGTGTAACAGTAAACTATCAAGATTAATAGCCGAGGCATTCAGCTAAACACGAGAGATATCGACAGCCTGCTTGGGACATTCCGAATGTTTGATTTCCATACGGCATGATTTCTGTGGCTGAATCCTGAGCGGATGGTTAGGGCCCACTGACTTGCAAGGAACAGCTTCTCACAGATGGGAAACACAATCGAGAGAGCCACCAGGCAGCATGCACCAAAGACAAACGGCACTAGGAAAGCAAAACACATCTATGCACATATAGGAACCTAAGGAAAGAAGAGAAAATATGGGACAAAAGATAGAGGCAGGATTACACCCGAGACGATAAAAAAGAAAATAGTTTTTGAAAGCACAAAAGCGTCTTTTCTGAACTGTTCTGAAGCCACCCTCAGAACACAACCGCCCGGGGGCAGCCCTGTAATCAATCACCGCGTCCTTAACGATGCGGGATCACATTTCCTTTCTTCGGCCTCACCCTCCCATCCCGCACGGTGCCACCTGTTCCTGCGCCGCCGCTGACGGGGATCACTGGTTTGCCTGACGGGGGCCCGTCATTAACTCGGCGGGGCTCAGAGGAAGAGCGCGGGGAGAGGCGGGGGATTAATGGCCTCACAAACCCAGGCACCGGAACACAACGGCCCCTTCAGAAAACCTCAGGCCGACGCCCTTGGTAAAACGTCAGTGCTTAAAACCGGGAGGCCCGATCTGATAACTCTGTAGCCGGAGGGCGTCGAAAAGGCCGGTGTGGAGGGCGTGGAGTCAGAAAGTCGCTCCGGCTCTGCCGTGGAAAGTCAGGAGTCCCGGGAAGAGCTCTCAGGAGGGGAAACTGCTCCACGCTGGCTAACAGCAGCTTGAATTAAGGGCAGTAAAAATCTTTTTACTTCCCCATATAAACCAAAGATTCATTTTCCATGCGTTAAAGAAACTCCTAAGTGTTTCTAGGCCTCCCAGGACGAAATGTAAATATTCCTGTTAGGCATTGGGTCATTTACCAATGGTAATCTGTGAATGGTTTCTGTGAATGTGACATTATAAAAGCAATTTTTGTTTCTGAAACCAAAAATAAATAAATGAATAAACAGTAGGCGAGAGGAGTTTAGTTTATGTCTATACTAGAGCCTGAAGGTGGAGATTATCCTGGTTAACACAACTCCCTAATTAAACACTGGTGCCTGCAGGGGTCACTCCCAAAGCTGCTGCTCATTTCTCCAGCGGAGGCGAGTGGGACAACAAGAGAGCTCAGGGATTCCTGGAATCCAGTCTCTGCTGCCTCTTCCTAGGACGTGAACACATCTAAAAGTCTCACAAAGCATAATTAGCCTGATGCCACTTACTGCTGTTGTTTGACAACAGCTCGGCGATTCAAACAATTTGATTTAACGAAAGCAAACGCATATTAATTTAAGCTGGGCAGATGCAGTCCATCACTGTATCGGAGTCTTGGGAGAAAAGTGCTAAAAGATAAAACATTGCATTGTGGGGAAAGAAAACAGTCCGGCGCTCTCAAACAGTTCAAAACATTTCAGAAGTTTTCTTGTTTCAGGTTTTTATACAAAATTGCAGTGGTGAAGCAGATATATAACATATAATTGATCATGTTTGACACATCCTGTAGTGTTATACATTACCAGTTACTTTATTAACTGTGTAAATAACCAGTTCCCTGTGTGGAAGATGATGCAGCTGGTAAAATCTGAACTGGATTAACCAAGATAGAAAAGGAATATGATCAGCTGACGTCTGCAGAATTGTTCACTAGCACAAAAGCAGCCTTTATCCTGCACTAGAATAACCAAGCTTTATCTTAACATTGCATGGAAGGTAATATGGATGTATTACCTTGGGAACAATTTTGAAAATAAATTGTTGCAATTTCAGATTCTTGAATTCACAGTCTAACAAAGAGCTTTGACTGAGCAGCCCTGTCTTACTTTAGAATCCCTTTCCCAATTTGCACTCTCTTGAACTTAATGCTGTTTAGTTGACTAACTGGTAGAACAAACAGAAAGAACAAAGATGATGGAGAAAGACCCAACAGATTTCTTTTTTTTCTTCTTTTTTTGGATAACTGCAGTAGCTGATAGGTTTGTTCTCCATTTTAATGCAGTTTACATCACCGTAAAACCTCTTGAAAAGTAAAGAAATGCCCCATCTGTAGAGATACCTCACTGTACATAAAACTGAAGTTGAAGGCTTAAACTGACATATAGAACTTCTACAGTTATAAAGGTGTTCTGACTCAAGAGACTTAACTGTGGATACAGAGGCAGTTCCTGCCACAAGGGGTCACATTCATTTCATAGACTCTGTACCCACTCATCACAACTTCACTGAAGGTCAGTAGTTGATTCCAACCCCAAATTTTTTAAAACTCATCAAAAGCATGGGATACTTAGATAAAAATAATTATTATTATAATTAAAAGCATTGACAAAATTTGGCAAAAAAAGGCAGTGCTGGCAGCAGCCCTAAACCGATACAGGTTTTTAAGCCAAGCAGTAAGCTTAGCTCTTGAGAAGTGTGATGTCCGTGACAAGTAGGCCAAATGAAGGCCGACCTCCACGTGACTTTCAGTAAGATGACAGACGAAGATTAAAGGTGAGGTCAGAGTTCATTTGGGCTTGTTATGTAGTTATCTACGTACAAACTATAAAATTCTGAAACTGTCACAAAAAAGGCACTTTTATGCCAAATTCCAACAGAAACCAGTACGGTTTATTTAATATGTAAACGATACCAGACTACCACTGTTGAAACTTGTCATCCAAAAGACTTTGTTTCCTTGTTTTGTTTTGTTAGTGAAATCGATGGACACTGAGGTTCCTATCTGCTCTCTTTGTTGAACTTTTGTCTCCAAGGCTGCAGTGAAACCAAAGGTTAAGGTTGCCTCTGGTACCTGGCTAATGAAAACCTCTCACAATATCTCAAGACTTCAACATTTCACAATTATGATGATATAACATTACCAGGAATATATATCTGTGTCCCTTTTTTTCCCCCAAAAGCAAAGCCTGTGTTCCTAAGAGCAAGTCTACCTGCCAACAAAAAAAGGAGGGAGCAATTTCTTTCTTAAAAAACAAAATGACCTACTTCTTCCAGCTTAAGGAATTCTTCAAGCCCGTCTGAAATTAAGACAAGTTTATACAGTATATGCCATCCACGCCCTTCTCAAACAGGGATGTTTGAACAATTCGGACCAGAATGGAATTCTATTTAAAAA